ATCCCTGTCCTTGAGCTATTGCTGTGTCTGTGAACAGAAACTCCTACAAGTGCACTACAGGTAAACTTCCCCCCCCAGCTTTTGTTCTGAAGTCCCTTGTGATCCTCCCCCAAGGGAGCTGATGCATGCCTGTGCTGCATCCCCTTGGGGCTCCTCTTCTGAAATATTCCCCACAGGAAACGCTGAAGCAGCTCCTCCTCGCTGATGGCCTTTCTTTTCAAAAGCAGGGGGAAGCACTTCAAGGGAAGTCAGTGAGGTCAAGGAAGAACAGCAGCAATAGCTATCTATCTGTCACAAATAAGCCAGAATATAATGCAGACAGAATCCTTCTGCAAAATAATTTCTCAGGAAATTGAACAAATTGAAAGACATTAGTGAATCTAGTACTGATAGGAAATCAATGATGTAAAACATTTAAATATATAACCCAAATTTCAGCAGTTTATGAGCTATCAGAACAGCTATTTCCTATGAAATTTGGACTTAGATTTGCTCCCTAAAATATGGAGATGTTCATTGTAAAATACACTATCAATGGAGTAAGAAAAAGAACTGTTCAGCAAAACCAGAGAAATATTTTAATATTTTGTGATTTTGAAACTCTTTGCCCTTGCAACTCATGGCAGTCTCTCTTCTCTGTCCTCTGACAAGTCATAGCAAAAGAAAAAAAGGCCACCCCAAAGTCTGTAAAATAAAAAACCCTCTGCATTTTGCCAGGACTTCCAGCTTCCCTTCTTCGCCCTTCAGCTCAACCAGCAGTTGAGCTGCTCAAATAAACAAGCTTATATAAAATCATGCTATGATACCTAAAAAAACAAATTTGGTGCTTCAATTTCAGCTAACATTTCAATTTCTCCCACTATTATTTTTCCTGGCTGGGTGAAAACACAGTTGGATTAATTATCTAGCCACCAAGTTTTCTGCCTCTTTTATTTGCCTTTTTTTTTTTTTTTAACCGTTCCATTTTCTTTTCTCCTAACACAGTCTTCCTGAAATGAATACAAACCCAGCATCAGTCAATTAGTGAGCAGCTATGAACTGTATCTTTAACACAAGTTCTGACCTGGGTAAGTTTGCCCAGACGTGCCTGGGAGGCTCATGTCACAGACTCTGTCCCCACTGAAGTCTGCAAAGCCATCAGCCTGTTATTATAAGCACATCAAGTTCCTTACTGAGCAATCCATTAAAAAAAAATATATTTCATGTTGTTATGCTCTTTCTTCAGCAGCCTTATTTTACCACTCAGGAAGAGTCACTCTACCCTGATGCTTCATGAACACGTGAGCTCTGAACCTTTTATATTACTAAGGCTTTAATATTTTAGCTGTTTACTCACAGGATTTTTTTGTTAGTGTCATCCAAAGTAACTAATCATCTTAGTTTCTTATATGAAATATACATAAAAACATGCATTAAAATGACAAGAAGAAAATAAAGGCAAATTAAATTAATATGGAAAGGCCTTTCTCCTACAGAATCTGGTTCAAGGTCAGAATCTCAAGGGTTCCAGTGGTGAGCATCCTTGCACATTGTCCCAGCAGATGAAGCTTTGTCGGTCAGTGAGCATATGTCAAGGCTCTACCTGGATCATCAGAGTGCTGTGGGAAAACACGGCTACCAACAAAGCTCTGGAACAAAGAACTGCATCTGTCAGCACCTGGGGTTACCGATACAGTGCTGCTACATGCCTCGCTGGCCACAGTTACACTCAGAACAAGATGCTTTTCATCATTTAGACCTCAGGCATTGACTTCTATTAGTATCTTTTATGTTCAGTTGCTGTGCTTTTTGCAGATGCTATTGGACAATCTGTGAACAAGAAGAGTGGTGAGGCAGAAGAGCAAGGTGCCACTCCCATACAGAAGAAGAGAGTTACATGTAGCTACACCCAGCTCCATGTAAACAGGGCCACATCTGCACTACCCTGAAACCTTTACTATTGAGGTGTAACTTTAGATTTGTGCTTCTTCCAGGACACAGGCTATTGGCTGTGATCTGACTTGAGACATCATGATAACTGAGTTCATTGAGACTACAGAGGCAGTAGCCCATCATGAGAACCAGTCTGAATGGCATCATTTCAAAGCCAACCGGACGATTTTGCAATTGCCTCTGTGGCATCTCAGAGGTACCAGCATCTCAAATGCATCATCTGAATACAAGATAGTTTCCCCTATTACACATACATTGGCTAACATTCAAGCTTGTGAGTAGTAATAGCAATTTGTTCTCATAAGTCTTCCTGTATGAGCTTCTGAATTACTCACTGTCACCCAGAGAGTGATAAAACTACATTTATGAGCAATACATAAAATTCAAACAAGACCTTTATTTACATTAGGTTTTCAAGCGTTGGGTGTTGCAACATACATAACAAAATTTCATAGTACATTTTTTATAGGAAATCAGGTTGAAAAGCTGATCTACAGAATCAATTTGTCAAAACTGGCTAAGCAGAAAATGTGTCAGCTCGGTTTTAGAGTACTCTGTCAATTTTACACCGTCTGTCACCGTTCAGAGTATTCCTGATGTTATGGTTATAAAAACAGAGCACTCATGCAGGTTAATTTACAGTGAACTCCCCTAGTAAATTTTACATTCTTCACTTGTTCAGAAGAGCAGGTCAGTACTTTCCACATTGTCTCACAAAGCAATTATGGATCCAAACAGGGATAAAACTAGATCTGTCAGGAAATTTTTAACAGAAAGAAAACTGGATTTAGCAAGACAAGGAGTCTGAACTTTAAGTTCATGACAAACTGGATAGTAATCTCACATTCTGTAGAAAACAAATTGTACTGTGAAGACTAATAGACTAATCAGTTCCTTTTATTCCATATTAATATTACGCAGCAACCAATAAAAATGTCTAGGTAAACGAACTTTGTGAAATATTTTGCTGCAAAGCTGACTTCAGTAATGCACACAAATGATAAAGTCATCGACTCTGCTCACTGCCAGAAGTAAAAAAAAAATATTAAAAAAAAAGCTTCAGAAGAAAATAACACTGATTCATACTGTGCTAAAGCACTAGTCAACAAAATCTATTAAACTACAGAGGGGTGACAAAAAGTAAAATCAAAGCAGCTTTGTTAATCTTACTTGTGACAACTTATTTAAATCTCAGACATTACCTTATATCAGCATAAATATGTAGCCTTCTACGTCTTTTAAAATGTAGTTACAGACACAAAAATGTTATAGTAGAAAGCAAGAGCTAGTTCAAGGAATTTGAGACTTTAAAATCAGCAAGATACAAAGCTAAAATTCATATGTTTCTTTTCAAGTTATGAATACTTTCACTAAAACATAAATATTTAAACATATATTAATTTTTTTCTGACATTCAAAGTTGTAAAGTCAATATGGCAGAATTATTGTTAAAAGCACATATTTACAAATATTCTTTTTTCCATACATAAAGTATTTGGCATAATTATAACAATCTTACTGCATACACAACTGTTTGCTTCTTTTTCACATAATGGTACACTCCTTATTAAAATTTACCAATTATGTACAAAAATACTTGAACATTTATTATAGAAAACCTCTATAACTACCATCAACAGCTTGTAACTGCTGAAGGTTTAATTGAGAGAATATAAAAAGTGGTCACTTGCTTCCAGTTAAACTATCAACAAATCAAACACATGAAAATCAACATGAGCTTCCCAACAAAAGAGGGAGAATGTTTTTAACGGCATGATTTTAAATGCAATTCACACATCTGTTCCCAAGCACGTTAAACAGTCAATAAAAGAAAGAGGATACAAAAAATACATACAGAAGGTGCTTTTTTTTTTTTCTCCCTCCACATTCCTACAGCTTGGCATTAGCTTTACAGAATTCTTCAGATGCCAGTCACTAGTATACAAACTAAGGCCAAACATTATTCTCCTACAGGAAAGATGATGGTGATAAACTCAAGCTAAAAACTAAATCCAAAACCTGACTCCACTGGTACGTACACATCCAAAGAGCTGTTCAAAGTTTTTACTAGGTTTTTAGAGAATTATTAATGACCTCCGCAATTAGCTTTTGAAATTTATTGATCAGTAACCAGTAATTCGTATCTTAAAAAATTTGTTCCTTTAGTGTATTGCCTTGGTACTAGTCAGTACTGATTCTTCTACACAAGTTAAGTGAACAATTAATTTGTACTGACTTCATACACAGATCGTATTTTAGCATGAACTTTCAAAAACAGCAGAGAGCCTCCTCTAGCAAACTGCTAGCTTTTTGAAAACCAAATCAACAACAAAACATTAACTGGAAGAATAAAAGTAAATTGCACCTCAAAAAGAAAAGGATGGGTCAGGTACAGTAATACACTAATGGCACAAAATGAAGATTCACCAGAGTGGTGCTGTACACTGAATGAAATGCAGGTATTTTTTCATCTTAAAAATAACATAAACCAAGCATGTTTCAAAAATTCCAAACCACATTCTTACAGAAGTTCTCCGCAATATAACTTGCATTATATCTCCGTGTTTCCACAGACATTTGAAATGACCAACCTTTTCACTGGATAAGAGAAACAACTTTCAGCCTACTTGCAGAAACATCCTAGTCTACAGACTACTTTGTTAGAAAGCGTGCATTTGTCTCTAGTAGTAAACATCCAGTCAGTATATTCTGCATTTTGTGAGAAGCATTCGGCTAACTCAGCTGAGAGTTGTAGGGTTTTAGATTTAATTTTTTAAATAAAGTAAAAATAAAAGCATTTATCAGTATTCACCACCATGAAATTAAAAAAAAAAAACCCAAAAAAACCCAACAACAATCTTCTCATTTGTGCTTCCAATACCTGGCAACCTAAATTAGTAATTTCATTTCAAATGTGCAACATAATATTAATAAGCATTTCAAAATTACTCAAAAGAAAAGGTGGGTGAAATATTAAAGTGCCTAACTAAATGCATTTTACCATTTTTAAAAAATATTATTTCTTAAACGGTAAAGAATTGGTTGCAATTAAATATAAAAGTGGCTTCTCATAGCTGAGAGACTTTGCGGGGCAGAGGCCTGGGCCGGGGAACCTGCTCAGTCCTCCTGCTGCTGTTCTCCAGGTTGTTTGGGCGCACCAGCTGCGGCTTGGGTGGCAGCGCCGGCGGGTCCGCGGCGGGCGGGATGGAGAGGCTGTGAGGTAGAGGAACGGGGCGTTTCAGAGTCCGCTCGTACACGCTGTAAGGCGGGGGGGTTTTGCTTTCTTTTCTCACAGGCTCCTCGGAAGCGCTGTAGCTTGGGACAGTCACTGTGGGTTCGCTGCCTTGGCTTTCAAAGCCCGATGTCTCCGACGTGCTACAGCGGCTGAGCGAAGAGATGCCGCTGCTGTAACTCCCGGACAGCACCGGGGAGTTGGATATGAGCCCCGAGGACTGGTACTCCACTGGAGATGGTGTGAATGACTGCACGGTCCCCTGAAAGAAGAGTGTACTTGAAGTAAACAAGGGAGAATATTCCTGTGCTCAGACTGAAAACATACAGACATACAGCCCACAGACTCTGAGGCTTGATAAACGTAGATAGGTGCATCCCTGTTTCATGAAGATCCATCAAGAAATCAATAAAAAACTCATTTCAAGAGTGCCTAAGTACACCTTAAACAGTGCTCATGCCAGTAATTCATATACGTGGAAATAAAACTATACTTGAATGTATTACTATCATAATACCCTGAAAAAACGTGGAAGCCTTTAAAATGAACCCTCACTTTTCCTTGGTTTAAGTGTAAATCACAGCCCTGCGCAGGCCATATCTAGTGGTGCCCTGCCCCCTAACGCCAAAGCACAGGACATGCATCGCTGTCATTGCTGCTACTTCAGCCTCCTAAGTTCCAAGTTCGTTTTCCAAGGCTTTTCCTTACAGGTTTTGTGCACTGTCATGCAACAAAAAGGGCATTTACATGGTGGCATCGTTTCTGAGTGTGCCCTAATATCAGCGTTGAAGGTGGAGCGCTGCAGGTCTGTGGGGAAGGTGAGGGACCGGGAGCTGAGGGCTCAAGCGGCAACAACAGTGCTGACAAAGAATAAAAGGCAGGGACAGTAAAGCCCTACCTAAAACCATTAAGCAAGCCTATTCTAGTGAAGCAACTTCAACTGAAAACTATAGAAGGTTAGACTGTACTTTGCAAGCTGAAAAGTTTTTGCAACTTATCTCATATTAACTGGAGCCATCTGAGACAGTCTAGACTTAATGGCCTCAAGCACAGGCTAAAAAAGGGATGGAGAAATCACATCAAAGGCAAATTTCTCACCCCAACTCTTGTTAGACTGGTTGGCGCTCAGCTGCTCAGCTTGAGGTGAGAGTGTGAGCCATGCAACAAATAGTGGGGAGGGAAGGAAAAGGAGAGGGGGCAGGGGTGTAGAGAGCTGGCTGCACTAACTTTATGCTGTTGAGAGAATTTTAGTTACCCATCTAGGACTGGATCCACAGTGCACTGAAAGCAATGGGAAAAAAAATAATTATTTGCATTGGTGGGTTTTGTACTAAGATGGCCTTCTCTGGCAGCACAGAACAGTTGGACAAAGGCTAAAAATTAAGCCCTGCATCTAGCTAGGGAAAAGCAGAGCAAGTTTTATTACAAGCTCAATGAATGTTGAAGACATTTCAGACATTGTGAAGAGCCTGTTTAACTACTTGTTTCAACTTCCATTCCTCTGCACATGAGGAGGCTCTAGCTGCACTCCCACCTCCACAAACATCCAAGGGTCAAGGTTTTCAAGTAAATTATGTAATTGGTTCAAGTTCCAGGCGTGCTTGACACTTGGATTAAGTGACCATGGATAGAATTTAGGACCTTTGCTTTTGTTATTCAGAACAAGAGCAAATATGTGTAAACGCTGCCTGCTTCAATTCGGGAGCTGAGCAGGAGTGAGCACTTGGTTCCTGACAGCAGTGTAGACAGCTTGTACCAGTGGTAAGAAACAGTCTAGACACCAAAACAGTTTGGCAATTCATGGATGCTCAAAGTGAGATCTAGCAACTCTCAGAAGTATTTTTGGCCATCATTCATCTCTCAAGCAGCAATCCAGACCTTGGCTGTAAAATGCTTAAATTCTGTCCAGGCCTTTAGAAGAAAATAGGGACGTTTAAAGCTTGTCCTAAAAAGAATTACCAGTACTAAGTCCAATCAGGAAAAATGAAAGAATTGCTCACCTTTTGTACACATTCCTAGTAAGCAGTACAAAACCTGGGATCAGTGCTTACTTCAGCAGAAGGTATACTATGATAACAGGACTGTGAGGCACTGTGATGGCCAGCACAATTGCTCTGTGTTGACCCTGGACCATTGTGCAGCCACAAGTAAAAAATGTTACAGGCTCATACAAATGGGAGAATGACTGTGGACTTATGACCAGGGACCTCAAGGGAAAGGAGGCATTTTGAGGTACCACTTTCCTCCTTCTCAGGAGACATGTACTTCTGCAGCATTAGTTAGGCACTGGATAGCTGAGACACCACTTTGCCAGGGCTGTCTCCTTGCACCTGAAGGACCAGTCATGCTGCTTTCTGTTTGCTCTCCTTCCAGGCTGTTGACCCTCAGATTTCTAATTGCGGAATTTTCTCTGTTTCAGTGGGGTGGTGGAAGCTATCCCTGAGACACGTGTGCAGGTGTGCAGTCTGTCAATACCAGCGTTTGCCGGGAACACGCAGGCTGCACATTCGTGTCCCCAGGTGCTGTGAAAGACATTTCCTGGTCAAGTTTTCCAACAAATATGCTGTTGTGCAACAAGTGGGCACCAATACATTAAAATATGTTGAAACAGAAATGAAGATAGCTCAGTTTATCTTGGATTCCCAATTGCTATGGGTGTTTAACTGCCAGAGAAGAACCGACTCTTGTTCACAGCCGGCGCTTAATGTTTCCTACTGGCCGGCTTCAAATTACATCCCACTTCTTACACAGTCTTCCTGGATTGTTCTGCAAAGGAAATGGGTATTAAAGTGACTGAAGCAGGGATGACTCTCGAAGACACCCTCTAATCAAACAGCTCTGGATGCTGGAGGAGTAAGAGGAACACGTTGCACAACAGGTTCTCCTTAGCTTGCATCTCCCCTTTTGCCACTGTTGGAGACAGAATTCTGGATTAGGTGGACCACTCAACATTGATTTGTTATATTCCCTTCCATCCACGGACTCATGTGATCTTGATTATCCATGTAGATGAGAAGCCTCATATCAAAAGGCTAAAGATTCTCCAGATTAGGTTTCTTGCTTGCAGTTTTGAAAATCTTCAGAGCGGATGTAACTGTTACGGCTACTTACTCCTGTGAATCGTTTTCATATAGGCATATCACAATAAAAGGAAAACATAATAAAATCCCAAATATTGTATATTAAATATATACTCTCTACCTCACAACACACACAACTGTCCCACAAAAGCAATTCACTGCAATAAGACAATACCTTCATCGGTGATCTGCCAGCAGGAGAAGGGGAAATGGAGGCAATGTGTCTTGCTGGTGATGCTGTAAAGTCAGAAAGATTTTAGTGCACTTGGCATTGCAATTTTCACTAAGAAATCTTTTTAAGTAGATAGGAGATCATTCGATACAGAAGCATTATCTCTGGTTCCCTCTAGGTATTCTCTCGATGGCTGCAAATTGTTTTAGATATTTTACTTTGTTCTCAGGATTATCTTGCAGTACAACCAATGAAGTAGAAGGAATTTCTGCATCCATCTTCTCTGACAAATTTTATATCACTGTAAATTGGTTTCTGTTCTACCAATTGATAACAGAACTCAAAAAAGTCAATATAATAAGTTTTCCCCTCCCCTTTTTGTTCTTCTCTTAAGATATACATTATGTATTTGTATGTCAGATAAGAAAAAAAAAAAAAGACAATACATAATGTATTTGTATCAGACATTTAACTGTAAATATACTGTAAACATGCCTGGACATACTTTGAGGCATAAGTCTAAAACACAAGAAGTATCTTCACTCCCTTGAGAATAATTATATTTACAGTATCACTCAAGCAGCCTTTCCTTTAAATGGAAATTAATCTTTTGAACGGGAAATTGGTTATAGTAACACAACTAATGTAATTCCATGATTGCTCTGTATTTTCTGACCAGTAAGGTTCTTTGTGGTTAATGATCATTTCGATTGCTAACCTCCAATTATCATAAGATCAAAAGATTAAATTTGATCATCCTCCCCAGTACCAGCATGAACTGTTGGAAACTACTCAGTCATTAATGGGAAGGGGCAGAATATTGGAAACAGGATGCTACAGAGAACATTATCAAGATGAAAATATCTGCAAAGGCAGTTCTATAGCCTTCCACATAAGTAATCAAATAATAAATTAACCTGCCCAAGAAGTTAAACATTAATCAGAGTGGAAAGAATCTAAGCCCTCAAGTAAACAATTTTTTTTTTTTTTTTTTTTACTGGAACTTAGCCTGAAATGTCCATTTACCCACCAGTCTGTGCAGGTCTTGGTGGTACGGGAGGAGATATAAGCTTTCCACTTTCTGATGTGTTTCTGGCTTCCTTCCCACTGTCTAGGCTCCAGCTGCTTGGAGTGGTGTTTACAGCTGGAAGAGAATTGGCATAGAAAAAATGGCACAGGCATCAACACTTCTAGCTCCCCGATTTGCCTTTACCCAGAGTGAAAACGTTTAACAACTTAACAAGCATGCCTGAAAAGCTTTGACGATTACATCAGCATTTTAAAAGCTTTTAAATAATGGCTGTCAATCTCCTGGTTGCCTGATGTGTGCATCTGGCCCTCAGGTCACTTCACTATGCTATAGCCCTTGGGACCACCACCAACAGTAGCAGCTGAGACAGCGCTCTGCTGCACTGCAGATCCAGCCACAAAGGGAGATAAGCTTGAAGTCTGTTAATATAATCAGTCTGTCTTTGCACCAGACTCCTATTTAGAGGTCTCTAGTCAGAAGGGAACAGACTATTCATAAACTGTTTCCATTAACTCATTTTATATGCAGAAGGGACTAGAGAAAGGAACTTGCCAAATTCCAGTCAACCTCCCTCAGAAAGCTTTCTCTGCTAACAGTCTACTGTTGACTGCATAGGCTACAAACTCAGAATTGAAAGAGGTTGGAAAGAAAGACACAAAATGGAGGGAGAAAAAAAGGGAAGAAATTAAAGGGGGGGGGTGGGGATCAAATTGAAAAATTATTTTGGACTGAGAAAATTTAGATACACTGTATCCCTGGTCAAGGATCTCTGCTTGATCATGTAAATTCACTCTCTCCTTGACATGCATAACATTTGTTGTTGTATTTGTCTGTGTTACCTTTACCAAATTCCATGACTTTATTTGAATGATCTGGTAAGGCCTGGAACAGCCTCCTTAACAGGACTGCTTTACCTTATGTTATTCAAGGAGCCACCAATATTGGAGAGAAGTCAGACAGACAGAAAGACAGGGCATTTAACATGGACAGCACAACAGCTAACTTAAACCCCACAGTTTTTCTTACACATCCTGTAAAAAGGTAGAAAAAAAACCCTGCTTCAAACCTCCCTCATGCTCTGAAAAAAAAACCAAAAAAACAAAACCATACACCAAAACCCTGCCAGCTACAAAGCCTCAAACATCTTGCCTTGCCATGACAGTTTCCTCCTTATCTGCTCGTTTCATTGCTGTGTACAGAGAACCACATTCAAGGACTCTGTGCTCATTTATAAAGATGAAGTGAAACAAAAGTATTGCTGCTAACTGATGGTATGAATTATTGCTATTATAGCAACACCAAGGGCTCTCAGAATGACTGCAATCCCACTATAGCAGTATATATCAGACTTAATGCATAGAGGGCAAGTAATGTTTGTTTCATATCTGTAACAATATTGTTACAGTATAATTGCACATTAGTTGACCCTGAGAACAGTGCACAGAATAATCTATTTTCTAGAGGATCATTTTGCTTTTTATTGCCAAAATATGGAATACGTTGTTTGCTTTTTATTGTAGGCTGTCACCTAGCAGTATGGCTTTGCCCTCATGCTAAAAATGACTTGGCACCAGACTTAAGTACTTCAAATGCCTGAATCTCTTGACAAGCCAATTTTTTTTTCTTTTAAGTCACCCAAGCAGTCAGTTCTTTGGACTGCACAAGTCTCTAGGAGAGAATATTTTATTTTAACAATTATGTAATATAGTTGGCTGCACAGGCCAGTGGAAAAGTTTTGCTATTTCCATGTTAAATTATTTAATGTTTTTCATCCCTGTGAAAAATTCCACACTTAAGCTTTCATAAAAACACTTATAAAAATCAGCTCTTACTGATAAAAATCTGATCCCCGGTCAGTTCTTGTTACAGTATATACTTAAAATATTTATTTTCAATATACCTGTTTTACTGTATCCTTTATTCACTCTAGCACAAAGTGCAGTGCATAATGGAATGATAGAGCATATTATGGACATAGAGCAGAGAATGAAATCGTGGCACAGTAACTGCCACTGACATTGAATTTCCCCATGTGCTAAGTTATAAAAGGCAGTACTTTGTCTATGGAAATTCATAGGTTTCTCATTTATTCTAATTAAAAACAAACAAAAAATCTCCAAACCAAACCAACCACAAATTGATCTTTTCCACCAAAGTGTAACTCAAAGCACAGTGACTTATATCTGGTAAAGAGAACTTGCAGCTATCAAACTTCAGGACGCTATCCATCTCTTTAGCTTCTCTCTGTCCCCTTTCCAGAAGTTCTTCTCCAGGGCTCTTCACTCTTTACGTCCCTCCCGAGAAGCAGAAAGGACAGCTCTTACAGGCAGCCTGCTGCTCCATCACCCTATCTGCAGACTTCTGGGCTCTTTGGAGTACAACACCCAGTTCAAATAAATACCATGTTCCCAACTTTTTGGCAAAGTGTTCTGAAACTTAAGAGTGTTAATGGAATTTAGTTAGAGTGTCTTGAATGCTGGAGATGACAGTATGCATTCAAGAGAATTGGCATTCTACAGGAATATGAGAGACTGATGATATTTTCCTTGCTTCCAAAGCTGGCATCATGAAGCATTTCCACTCACCTTTGTCAGGGCCAGGCAGATTGGAATCACTTCGTGGCAAAGCACTGTCTCCAATATGATTAAACAGCATCCTCTGTAAATTGAGAACAGCATGTTTTATGCATGGGTCTTGTTATATTTCAGTAGCCTTTATGAAAACAAATATCTTTTTGTTATTCTCTCCACCACAAAGGTCTGCTTTGGAGGTAGAGTGATAAACATTACCTAAGAACACAGTTTAATAAAAATGTGTGTATAAATAGGGAGTAACTAGTTTTTTGAAAACTGTATGCACTGGAGTTAGAGGGAGGATTATTATGTACTGAATTTTGACAGTTTCCAGCTTCCTAAAAAACAAAATAAGACTCATTCCTCAAGCGCTACCTTGATAGATTACTAAACAAGTGCAGGGATAAAGCTGCAATAATTTCACTGCAGAAACAGGATCTAACAACGTGTAATGTTTGGCAATATTCAGGTTATGGCTTGTTATCTTAGAAGATCATTATGTATTATTTCCAACCCTGACTATTTTGGTAGCAGTTTTCTTATTCCTCATATGGATAAGAGCTGACTTATTGTCTTTTATTTTCTGATTTTTTTTTTTTTTAAAAACAAACAACTACACATTAAATTTAGAAAACTATTTTTAAATTCCAGTAGTTATTTCTTTTCTGCTGGTTTATCTTGATAACAGATGTAAACAGCATACAGGTAATCCTACAGGTGATTCAGATGTATTTTCCAAAGGAAAGAGGAATGATAAAAGTTTATTTTTTTTTTCCCCTCTAACGTAAGATCAGAGATTCTGTGAAATCCAAATCAAATCCTATTCTCTTATCTCATTCTAGTGTTCACAGACAACCATGCTGAGACAATGAGGCACCATGTGGTGGTTCCATAAGATGAGAAACACAGCTGTGAAGTAATCAACATTGATCTACCAGGTTGCAGCTCCATGTTACACAGTGAGGAACAAATATTGGCCAATTCAACTCAACTTAAACCACCTCATAAAGAGAATGCTTTGGTGGACTTTGAGCTACACTAGATATACCTGTCTATGATGTACTAGAGTCATACTGGATGAAGTCACATCTGTTTTCCTGGAGATACATCAAAACTGAGGTGGTATAACTACATCCGTACTCTAACATGCCAGGAAGTGTGATCATGTTTCTGCCTTGCCTGGATTGAATGTTGACTGCCTAGTGAGTCTGCAGTGCACTAGGATCTGGTGGGCAAATGTTGAAGTTTGTTTTCTGTTGTGAAGCTAAGAAGCAAAGGCTGAAAAAGCAACTGAAATTAGGGGAGATAAAGAGACAAAAGTGGAATGAAATACAGAGAAATGAGGACATACTACCATGAAATATAAAACCATATGAAAGAACAAGAGCAATTACAAGATGTTTAATGAGATGCAAAAAAAACCCCAAAGTGTGAAAGCCAAAAAGCTGCTTTAAGAAGAATAATAGTGCAAAAACTACGGAAGCATTCCTCTTCAGAGCATGGGAAGAACTGGAGAGACACAGTACAATTGCTCAGCCAGAGATGAAAAAGGAAGCACAAATGGATGTTGACAGCTGTACATAGATAACTTTGAGCATCAATTTCAGTGAGGAAAGCAGATGAAATACTGCTGTGGTCTTGTTCTGTGGAGTCCATCAAACTTTCTTACGTGAGGTAGCTATGGCCTCAAAAAGACTTGATTTGGACATGTAGTGAAGGAGTTTGCCTGTGTATCTCTTTATTGGTTGAAACACTGTTGTGAAAATTGTATTCGTTAAGCCATAACAAAGGCATTCATAAATGGGTGGTCATTTCCTCATTAGCTTTTTGTGATGCTCCAGCCAAGACTGTTGATGTTAACTGACGTTAGAATAAAAATAGCAAGGACGAGGAACAGTTTGTGCATCTAAATTCTAATAAGACTTGCAAGTATCTCTAGATACCTCCTTACAATTGTCCTGACGATTTCTTTTCCTCTTCTTAATCAGAAGGCAGAGAATCAGAATTTTGTTTCTCATCACAGTCCGTTGTTAATGTTCAGGGAATAGAGCACCAGAGAAAGAAATTCCACCGTTCCCCCAGAAGATATACCCTCGTTTATGGTTATGAGGGCAGAAAGAAAATGTCAGACCTTCTCACCTTTGAAACACTTCACTGTTCAAGCAAGTCAGTTTTCTACTTACCCTCTCTTGGGACACTGAGGGTAGAGACAGATTGGGAGATTTTCCTGCTGGGCGAGCCTCAGAGAGAGTGGGGACTGGGCCTACGAGCTCCTCAGCCTCCCTTATGGAATCTCGGGTAGAGTGGGGGATAGAAGTCGCATTCCACTTGGCAAAGCAAGAGTTTGCAGTCTGGGAGCAAAAATGGGACAATTTTTTCTTTGCGGCAAGCTGTAAAACCGCACTATTTAAAGAACATCTCCTGATCTTTCCTGTATGTTGGCTTGGCTCCATGACCCTTGAGAAAGTGCCCAATAGACGTTATCAATAAGTAGTTCTTGAGAACTGTCCTTAAGTCTGGCTAAGCTTCAGTATTACTTCTTAAGCCCTTAGGTAACTGCATGAGTACTTAAAAAGAAAAGAAAAAATTAAATCAAGACCAAATTCAATAACTGAAGAAGCGAGGGATAAGAATACAACTAATGAGAAGTCAACAAATTGTTTCTAAAATAAAGGATCCTGGACTATCAAGTTGGTTTTTATTAGAGGCAAAATTTCTGGTGGAAATGGGAGTGTTGAGAGGAGAGCCTTTCACACTGCAGCCTTTTACACTGTTTTGTCTTTCTCAGCTTCAGCAAGAGGTGCGTTGTGTGATGGCATGGATTAAAACAGCAGCTGTGATAAAGGAAAGCACTTTAGGGAAAGTAGGCCCATTAAGAAGAAAAGATGAAATAAGGACTCAAATTTGGCCAGCTCACCAAGCTCATTTTGCATTTCAGATAACTCAGAAGATACAAATATCGTACAAACCTAGGTAACAGTAATTTTAAGGTAAGAACACAATTCATTCTTTTCTCTGGAATGACAAAATGTCTTTCTTTTCTCAAACTACATTGAAAAATAGGATTTTCCACATAGAATTGGTTATTATCTGACAGTGGCTAGGATTAGCCATTTCAGAAAATACAAAAAGGAGGTCAACATGGACAAATGCCACGATAACAACTTTTCTTCCTTTCTTCCTCCCTAGATTGCACAAATGCTGCTGTTTCACACAAGCAGGCTGCATCATCTGGTAAGTCTTTGCATCTCTCTCATTGCCATGAGTAAATATCAAACCCCAGATCTAAACCTAGCCAAAGCATGCAGAAATGTAATCAAGCACCGTGTATTCTGTTCTCATCTCTTTTCATTTTTCAGTATTTGCTTATAAAAAAAAAAAGCCAAACCATCAAAACTGCCTTGAGAATTAACAACAGTGAGCAGATGCTGAACTTGCTTGAAGTTCAAGTGCCTTTACCATCTTAGCTACTTGTGCTCAGAAGACTCCCAAAGAGCTTCCTACCTGTGAGGATTCCAAAGGAGTGGGGTAGATGGCACTGCAGGGCCTCTCTCTGGGGGACAGGCAAGAGTTTTCTCGGGAATGCTTATGTTTGTCAGACAACAGAGGAGAGGCTAGAATATAAATATGTCAAGTGATTAAATTCATGCAGTGAAGCTCTCATATTTCAATTCTATGCTTATGACAAAGAAATTCTCTATCCCAAATAATTCATATTCTTCAAACAACTGGCTAAATTTGATGTCTGACCAGTGATACCATATAGAGATCGAGCTGTGTAATGTATCAAGTATTATTTAACATGGTTTATCACAGGAGATGAGCACTAACCTCTGGCACTGGATGGAGCAGAACTGGTCACGTTAGGCGAAGCAGAATGAGTGGAACTCAGGCTTGAGGTAGATGGACTAGGCTGCGTATAGAAGAGATGCTGTTGTTACCACATCACACTTACTGGTTTGGAAAACATGCTTTTCACTAAAACAACTTGTAGTTTGTTAGGTTACTTTCTCTGTATTTAAAAATAGCAAACCAGTATTAAAAACGTTAATGTAGCTACACAAAGATGTAGTAAAATATCAAATAAATAGAAAATATATTAAAGTAATTACATTGCAAGTGTGACACCTGGACAGAAAAGTCCAGGTCAGATGACTTTGCATCTTAGTAAATTGCTGCTAATTGCCATTGTAAAAGATTCATGCCCTAGGTTCAAGAAGAAAGTTACATAAAACAATCAGTCTTTCTAAGCTGAGGTAAGTAGCCCTTTTAAAGATTTGTTTTTTAAAAGAAGTATCAGCAATAATTTTGAGATTTCTGAATTAAATTAGAGAAATATTACATTAGTAAACAGCTTTGTAAGAAAGATTCTGTTTAGTCTGAAGAATGACAATAATTTGTACCTGCATGTTAAAAACTTCATCAGAGCTTTCTGATTGCCCAGTGATATTGCTGACTTCAGCAGAAGCTTGGGAGGACAGTGATGAGGACGAATACCGATTGACAGCTGGGTAGCTCAAGGGACTATTATAGGGGTAACAAAATACAAAATGGTTAACTCTAGTTGCCAATATTTTTTTTTCTTCCATGGGAAAACAGCACATTTATTAATCTCCACAGTTTATTTTGGATTTATTAGAAGAGAAAGAGAATATATTTCTATAGGTCAGCTATTCATGCCTGAAGACACTTCAGGTAGACCACACAAGGAAGTATGCAATTAACAGAAATATTTTATGGGTCATCTTCCATGAGTAACAAAAGGTATTAATTTCTAATATTTTAACTTGCCTGCGTCGTGGTATTACTCTGGCACCATCGGGACTCATAGAAACAGGCATGGAATTTCGGCATACACGAGGACTTCCATTTGGGAAATGAATAGGGCTAGCTTGTACACAGGCAGAAAATTCCTGGTGAGTAGTTAAAAAAAGATCCATTAAAATGAATGCAATATCATTAAGCATTTTGTAAGATACAGAGAGTCATTTGAACATTTATACCTGCATATTGGATCAGCTTCATCATAGTAAGAAAAATATTTTAACTCTTCTCTGATGATACTTTCCCTTTAGTAAAACATGACTATTTTTCTCTGCACACAAAATTTATTAACTTTCTTTTCGCTTTGTGGTACTGCAAGAATGCTACAAGATGTAATGTAGACAAACAACCAAAAGATGTCACTATTTGTTGCTTAGGAAAATTAACTGACTGCAGCTAAATGGTCTCCTGGTTTATCCATACACCTGCTCACTTACCTGTATTCCCAAGCTTGACTTCATCACAAAGAACTGATCCACCAATTTTTTGTGCAATGGCCTCATGTCCTGTGGCACCACCTTTTCATGCACTGCCAAGCCAAATTCTAAAATCTGGGCCTGCAGAAGAAACAGGAGGAAAGAGGGGAAAAAAAATATATATTTTAGATCCATTTTCTTTAAGATTTCATCATCAAATGGAATACAAATTAAAAAATCCAACAAAATGCAAGTTGTATTAAAAGTGTCTGTCTAAATCCTGACAGACTTGTAATCAAATAAGGCTTAAGACCAAAACTAGTAATACTCAAGGATTTATGTCTTTTCTCATTTTGCTGTTCAACTTCCCAAATGATTTAGTCTATGTAAATTCAACTGTAATAAAACCCCATTGTGGATAACAGTGAAAAATCTGGTTGAATGGCAATCTTACAAAGGAGCAGTTCTAAATAAAAGCAGTTTTCCTCAAGAATAGTTATAAAAAGCATGAAACAATAATAATGGCTACATCTACCAGAGACCCTGTAATATATTTTCCATGAAGTCCATGGTTCCCTATCCTATTCCAACTCCCCAGAGACCTCAGTGAATGGTGGCTTTGTGTATATTCTTGATGCAAGGCACCACAGACTTCAGAATAACATTGCTAAAACTCAAACCTTGCTCAAATTCGGTCACAGGCATTTAAAATACTGAATTGGTTACATAAGAAATCAGATAAACTTGAATTTAAAAACAAAATAGCTACACCATGCTGTCATATCTTTGGATGAGAGCTACTAGGTGACGTTTTCAGGCAGCCTGCGAGCGGGCACACAGCTGCACAGCATCACTGACCCAAGGTCAGGACCACAGAGCACATCCATCCATGGTCCTGGCCCTTCTGAGTGCTCTGTGCTTTCTGTTAAATCATCTGTGGGTGCCAGACAGGGTTTAACTGCTAGTGTTTGGAACTTACGTTTTTGTCATGGGAAGTTAATAACTCCAGTTTTCAATTGTAAGGGTCAGTGAGATTAACTATAGCTTGAAAAACCAAAACTACAATGTAAATTACTATATATTATCTAAATTAAAGTGAGCTCAGTAAACCTATTCTAATTGATTCTGTCTGAGGATCTGTTCTTCGGTGGATCTGGCCAAAAGATACCATAATGCTGACAAAAAATTGGAATTTCCACCTTGCCAAATTCCAACACTCTGACTTCTTTATCCCAAGCTGGCAATAAAGTTTGAAATATAAAAGTGCTGCATAGAACAAAGATAGACAAATCTCAGTTAAAAACACTGAAACACTTAAAAATATCATTTGACAAAAAGAACTTTTTACCAGCATTTTCAAATGGAGACACTTCATATTTGAGGCTGGTAGGTTGTTCTCTTATAAATAAATGAAGACAATACAAAAGTCATATAACGCATAGAATACCTATTTAATCACTTGGTGTTTACTGCCTATCTACTTTGGCTACTATTACTAGACATCTTCCATCATAATCTGAAGTTGTTTTGTTTTTGTTTTTGTTTTTCTCTTCTCTTTTGATAAACCTTGTAGTGAAAAAGTCTGTTCTCTTGTAGCAGTAAAATACATCACACAAATCTTTGCTGAAGCCATCAAACGTTTCAATGAGATGATGTTTATTCCGTAATATTGGTAAAACATGTCGTGCAAATATTTCCATAGGAGCATCACAAGACAAAAACCTGCCTCTAATTCAACCTTTAATTTAGAGCAGTTTGAAGTGATTAAGATGATGATGACAAAAGCTAAGAAAAAAAATTAACATGACCCAGAAACCTGCTTGTATAGGAAGTTACTGTCTACTTGGAATCTAATTCAGAAATACTGAAGAACATTGAGCAATTATTAACCTTTGCAATTTGATATTTTATTTTGAGACGCTTTTAGCCAGAACAGCTGAGCAGGCATCAGGAAACCTAGTCAGTCTTTTCCCTGCTTTACCTGCTCAAGCATCAGCTCTCTCAAGCGTGTGATCTTCTCTCCATCCTCTGGGTGGTTCAAGACATATTCTTTGACAAAGAATGCCTAAGCAGAATAAAATCACAAAGTAACAAAGTGAGTAGAAATACATTGCCTAGAAACTTTTGTTGTTTATTTGTTTCTTTTTTTTTTTTTAAAGTGTTATATATCTTTTCAAAACAAAAGCTCCTATTTATTGTAATACAGGAAAATAAATGCTAACTAATTAATTATTCACACGTGCTTTGGTGGAGACTATAGGCAATTAAAATGTAGCCACTCGAGTGGAATTTAGTATTTGTTCTAGGACAGATCCTGAATCAAATTTGGAAAGTTGCAAAAGAGAGCTGAAACCAAACACAGGTCACCTGAAGTGTCTCTTCCCTGTTAATTGTGACATAAGAGTTTCAAATAATTACAAAGAGTTAGATTTTCCTCTCTTTTCATATTAGGGGCTTCATTACACCTTAAATGTGAAGAAAACTTAAGAACAGTGTGGAATTGTATGTTATTATATGTATAGGAGCTGTGACATTATGGTCTTACTCACTCTTAATATAATTAATGTTTTTAAAGAACTCACAGTGACATTGATGTCAAAACCCCACACTTCAGAAGTATCTGAACAATATCCAGATGTATTCATGAGCTTACATGACTTTCCACCCCATCCCTGATGCTCAAATTATACCAGCTATAGTACTCCAAAATAGTTTCAACCCACCAGCAATAGCCTGGACATAGCACTCCCTCGTTTGTTCACAACTGCATCTTTCTTAACATGGCAACTATCCTACCCTGCAAGGGGATTATATTGAGTTTATAACAATTCTTGACACTATTCACCAAAGAAAATGCCCAGTTACTAATCTGAGAGACTTCTAGACCTTCTCAAAAATGCATTTGTCACAAAAAGTGTCTGTACACTTCCCTACACGTACACACGATTTTCTATCCGTAGAGTTGAGATGATAATAGTGGCTGCTTTGTGCTGCGTTTTCCCTATGAAACTTTTTTAGTATTTCCCTCATATTCTTCTCATAATGTTCTCCATCCAGCTTTAGCTGTTAAAATCTTTGCTATGCAGAATCATTTGTAAATATAGGGAACAGTGGAGCTGTAGGTAAATACACCCTTTCCTCTGATTCAGTTCCAAAATTTCATGGTATGACAACCCCCAACAAGGAAGTGCCGAGACCCATCTAGAAAACGCTGATATTGCAAGAAGAACATATATTTCACACGGTTCTTTCACTGCAGATAAGCAGAACTGTAAGAATTTATGTTTAAACTGTTAAAAGGAGCCCACTGATAATTGCTAAAATCCCAAATCTCAGACTTCTGCCAACTGATGTTTTTTTCCTCCTCAGCTAGAAGCTAAATGTTATTTCAATATCATGCAGGTGGTATCCCAGTGGTTTCGGGATGAGATTTATACAGATCTGTAATATGAGTCAGATATGTAATAATCTAGCTTCAAAGAAAATCACCAGTACTTTAAAAAAAAAAAAAAATTAGAATTTGACTAAATCTGGTAACGTCCTTGGAACTGGAAGTTTCCAATAAATTAATCATGAAAGTGCCTCTACTCTTCTAGCACATGTAAAGGAGCTAAAAGAAATGTAAGTTATAATACAAATTGCAGTTTGAGAGGGCAGAAAACACACTCTTTATGCTTTTCCTACAGTATTGAGGAAAATATAAGAAAAATCAGAGGTTCAACCTACAGTCAATTTTTAGCATACGTGAAGGTGCTGCAGTATAACTGTTACTTCTGTAAACTTTCCTGGAATCTGTTCCTGTTATACAATCGGTGAAAGCTTAGCATTAACACCTCCAACCCTGGCCAAAACAGTGAATAATTAGAGATAGCTGGGTTTTATCCCATTTGAGAAAAAGGATGAAAGAGTCAAGAAAGCAGCAGCTGGCCAAAGGATGTTTTTTGCTGTGTCTTAACACTTGTTAAAGCTTGGAGGCTGCCTGAGGGAAGTAGGATAACTGTAAAGACATAGTCATGCTTACCTCAAGACCTCACGGTCCAAGACTGACTGAGTTTTGAACTTTGTGCAGGGCAGAAGCAAAGCAAAAGAAACAGGTAGAGAAAAGCATTTACAGAGGAGAGGAAAAGAAGGAAGGTAGAACATAAGAAGTGATAAAACAGGAGGAAGACATATAAAGACTGAAAATGGGACATGTAAAGAAAATGAGACATGTAAAGAAAATGAGAGTGGAAAAAAAAACCAACAACAACAACACAACTATTGCTAAGTTTTGGTGTTTACAAAACAAATTGGTGAAAACTGGTGTTTTAGATATATAGCAAAAAGAGAGGGGGAGGAGAGAAGGGAATCTAAACTTGAAGACTGTCTAGGAGATGAAGAATCGCAGCTACGAACAGCAGTAAGGAAGGAACAAGTTTGAACCTTTTATACGCTTGTGAAGAAGGGCAAGCTATGCACCAAGCTAGCTCTGACACTGCTAATCCAAAGCAGACATAGCTCCAACATGACTGTATTTCTCAAGGGACTCCCTTCCTACACTTTACTATCCTAAATAGTTTTGTTGTTGTTGTTTAAAAGCAGCTGGGAAACATCAAACATGACACTGCTTTGCTTTAGTCTCACAATTTTCGTAACATTGCAGTTTTGATGACAGATTCTAACACTACCGTGGACTCAATTTCTTGTAGCTTAATTTAGATGCAGTTTTATCAGATTTAACACTGTTGAGTGAATGCTGAGTTTTGTGGCCTTTGAGACTAGTAGACAGAATGTTATTGAACTTGACATTTTAAATGGAAAAGGAAGAACAGCAGACTCAAGTATTTCATAAGACTTAGGAGAAAGAGGAAGATTAATCTGGGCTGAAAAAGAAACAAACCCATACTTGCTTTTTACTGTGGCTTTAAAATCCCACAGAACTTTGTGGAAATACAGCATCCCAAAGACTTAAGGTTCTCCTAAGGTGATTCAGAGGTTATAATAATGTGGACCAACTTTTGGGAACAAGTCCAGTGTTAGACATTTTTTAATTAGATGTATTATTTCTTAACAGATTTTCCCACAGGATGGCTTTCCTTAAAAATGTGGAGAGGAGAAAGAAGAATGATCTAGAAATATATGGCTCTTCAAGATGATAAGATATACATACATATATATCTACCTTAAAATTAGAATGCCACTACACCAAACTAAATCTGCTGGTCAGCCAGGAGTAGCTCCTGATCTAGAAGAGCAGGGGGGACGGGATTATATTATAATAACATAGGTTCAGTTACATATTTCATTAAAGATTCCCAAAGAGATCACTGAAGAATGTAGGGTAACTGTGAATAGATTCATCACTGGAGTAAGTTTATGGTACTATCTTCAGCAGAACTGTTGTTTCAATACAGCTGTACCTGATATTTCAACATGAACTCACCCAAAACTGCAATATAGGGCTAATTATTATTGATATAATACTTTCTGTCTCAAATTCATACAGAGGAGCTACATCTGTATAGCAGAAGAAATTAACAAGAAACTGTCTTATGACAGGTTTTTAATAAACAGAAAATAAATTGCTTACCTCTTGGTATCTAGCAACTCCACCATTAACTGCTGCATCAATGACCCCATTTAGACACATGGTGAGAGGGTTAATATTTTGCATCTGTCGAGTTTGACACTGACTAATCAGTGTTCTCAGCTGCTGGTTCTTGTTTTCTAGGACTTCAATAGCATTCTCAAGGGGACTCATTTCCACCTGAAAGTGGAGTGAGGAACATCACACACATACTTCAGTTGAAAGATGAAAGATATTAAAAGTAATTTTTGATTTATTTAAAAAAAAAAAAAAGTTACTTTATGTTCTAGAGTATTGGGGCAGAAAAACATCTTCTCAACTGGCCTATACTCTTTGAGTGTACACTCTGAGCAAAGAAAGAATGAATTTTATCATGTGATCAAGGATCAAAATAACAACCCTCCCTCTCTTGTGGATTCACTATCTGACCTTGAGAAATGCTCAGCCCCTGCTGTCAAACACTCACACGTTTCAGCCTGTGGGGAACTCTTGGAATCGAGGGCTAAACTGTGCTTGGTAACTTTACCTAAATTGGGCTTGAGGTCAGGGAGAGCTTCACTGTGCTTAAGGGCACATGGCAGATCTTAAGTATGTGTGAACTAGTTCCCCCAACCAAAGTGAAGTCAACAACTAGACATTATGTTTGAAGAGTTTGAATGTAAGCTTTGAGCCAAGATGATAAATTATAGTCAAGGGCAGTCCTTGAGTGGTAAGTGCCTGTCCCCTCTAGAAGGTGAGGAAGCTTTTCTCACAGGTAGCATGAACTGCGAAAAGCAAAAAAAACTAGGCTATGGGAAGAGTACCAGGCTTGGAGATGCTCTAATTTACCACAGCATGCCCAAGTACATGCACAGGAAAAATTATTACAGTTAACTTTTAGAAATCTTGAGTATAATGGGAATATGAAAGTAAACTATGTACCTTCATGTTAGGGGTCATATTAACCCAGTAAGGACTCAGTAGATGTTAACTAACAAAATTTCTTACATTACACACATCTTTTTTTTTATTTTTACTAAATTCCATTTTTGGTTTTCTACAGGAGAGTATCAGGATGGTGAAAAAATGACATTTTGTTTCTATTATAACACAAAAACACAGCAGAGTTTTAGAGAAAATCACTTGCACAATGGTATCCTTATATTTAATGAGGCTATTGCAAGATAGGCTTTGACAGGAAGGAAAATTGTTACAGAAGTTATATTCCTGGACTCAATAATTGACCAATTATTTAGAGATCTTCAGAGGAGGAGCACTCTTCCAAATACATTTGAAATTTATTTAAGGATATTCTCACAAAAATAGCAACAGGGAAGAAGAAATTACAATGTATCAGTAACATACAACTACATTAGGCCTTATTCCTACAAGGTCTGCACAGGCATCCTTCCCTTCCCATGCTGAGAACTGGGAACTTCAGCATACCTCTAGGCTGACACAGAAATATACCCACATGATGTTCATTAAAATGTACAGGAACTTGGAGAATCTTTACTTTTCAAGAATACTGAAAGAGATGTTATGCTATAGATATTATAAGTAGTAAATGTTACATCTCACTGAGTTTTTAGAAAGTAACTTGCTGATGTGAAATATTGCCTTTGGTTGCCCATTATTGTTCTCAATTTTTTTTTTTTTCTTTTTTTTTGCTGTCAACTGTTTAAATGAATCGTAAGGGTAGTTAACAATACTTTTCAAGGTAAGAGAAACCAGACAACTCAAAATATTTGGTAAATAATTTTGCTGTAACCAGCTTGAACACTTCCTCAAAGAATATCAATATGGGTAATAAATTTTAAAGTAGTCCATTAAATAATATATGATAAAGGCAGTAAACCAACCAACAATATGTGTTGTCATCAGTCTCATACTCACTACTTCACGTTTTTCCACTTCAAACCAACGAGATATTCCAGGTAAACTCTGCACCAAGATCAGTGTAGTTCTCTCCACCCATAGACTCTACAATAAACAAAATCAATTATTTCCCTAATTTGCCTCTATAGTTTTTCTTAATTATTCCCAGTTTTCTTTATGAATACCTTCATTTAAATAAAGTATACATTAAAAAAAAAGTATTAACATCCAAATTTCTACTGAAATGTCTATACCAGAAGCCTCTAACATTCACTTTTCACCTTACTTTTTAGGTCCTACTACTAAGCAGTAATTTCTGCTGATTCTTCACACTCAAACATGGTATTATTCTATATTATATATTGGCCCCTAATCGCCAAAAGTCAGTCACAACTACTTAGCATTTTAATATTCCCTTTCCAAGTTAATATCTGAGAAGAGGGAGAGTTCAGAAGCAGAACAAATTACAGATCACACAGAGTCACCAGCTCTCCACTGTGAAGTCCTATTTGAGATTCCATCATGCATAGCTGATGGGACACTCAAAGGTACTACTGTTAAACACTTTGTGCAAGAGGTTTGTAAAATGACAAATCAACATAGGATACAGCTTACACAAAATATATATAAACTGTATAACTAAAATAAAGCCCTAAGCTTTAATTAGAGAACAGTGGCTTAATTTAGCTCAGCTATTACTCTTAGCTTTCTTTTGTCTAACTTGAAGACAAAATCATTATAGAATAGTTTTCTCTATGTGTCTGAATACCAGAATATATTCTGCATCAGGCTATGTTTCTAATGGGTCAGAATTAAAATTACACCAAAGAATAAAAGATGAAGTTTCAGTGTGACATTTTTATTAGGAGGAATACAAGTCACTTACATACTAGGGTAGGAACTATTGCTTTTCCTTGACATGATCTCTAAGTCCAGAGGTAGTTTTTAGTCTTGATATCACATGAACAGAACATTATGCTGCAGTTTAGTCAAAACTGTCTCACCCTTGTTCTAGGAAGGGATAACTGACCACTAGATGGATAAAGAACTGGC